TTTTGACCAATTGCAAGGTGCATTAGTTTTCTCTAAGATTGATATAAGGTCTGGTTACCATCAGTTGAAAATTAGACATGAGGATGTGCCTAAGACGACGTTTAGGACTCGCTATGGGCACTATGAGTTTTTGGTTGTCTTTTGGTTGGACCAATGCACCTACAACTTTCATGAGTTTAATGAATGTGGTGTTCAAGCCATTTCTAGATTCTTTTGTCATAGTCTTTATTGATGATATTTTGGTCTATTCGAAAAGTGAGGAAGATAATGCCGACCATCTTCGTATTGTTTTGGTGTTCTTGGGAAATAAAGGTTGTATGCTATATTTTCTAAGTATGAATTTTGGTTGACTTCTGTTGCATTGTTGGGGCATGTAGCTTCGAAAGAAAGGGTAATGGTGGATCCTCAAAAGATTGAGGCGGTTAAGAATTGGGTTCGACCAAGTTCTGTTACTAAAGTTAGGAGTTTTGTGGGGCTTGCTAGCTATTATCGTCGATTTGTGAAGAAATTTGCTTCCATTGCCACTCACTTGACTAAATTGACCAAAAAGGTGATACCATTTGAATGGACTGTAAAATGTGAGGAGATCTTTCAAAAGCTCAAGACTCTCTTGACCTCCGCGCCTATTCTAGCATTACCGGTGGAAGGTAAATTTTTTATTGTTTATTATATGCTTCACATTCTGGTTTGGGTGTTGTGTTGATGCAGGATAAGAAAGTTATAGCTTATCCCTCACGTCAATTGAAGGTACATGAGAGGAATTATCCAACACATGATTTGGAGTTGGCAGCGGTGTTGTTTGCTCATAAGATCTGGCGACATTATCTATATGATGTTAAGTGTGAGGTATTTAATGATCATCATAGTTTGCAACATGTGTTCACTCAAAATGATCTGAATTTGAGACAACGAAGGTGGATGGAGTTACTCAAGGATTATGATGTGACCAAACAATATCATTCGGGCAAGGCTAATGTGGTGGCAGATGGTTTGAGTCAAAAAACGGTGAGTATGGGTAGTTTAGCTTGCTTGAGTGAAGCCAAGCGACCTTTGGCTAAGGAAATTCAAACCTTAGAGTATAAGTTCATGCAGTTGGGAATCTCATAAAGAGGTGGGGTGTTATCTAGTATTGAGGTAAGGGCCACATTCATTGAGGAGATCAAGGCCAAGCAATTTGAAGATGAAAATTTGGAGGAACTTAGAAAGAAGATTGTGATTGGTAAAGCACAAGAGACCACTCTTGATGTGGAAGGTGTGCTCAGTTTTAAAGGAAGAATTTGTGTTCCTCGAGTTGATGATTTGATTCAGAAGTTGTTGATAGAGTCCCATGATTCGCGATATTCTATTCATCTGGGTGTGACTAAGATGTACCGAGATTTGAAGCGAATTTATTGGTGGCCGGGCATGAAGAAGGATATAGCGGAGTTTGTGGCTAAGTATCAAAATTGTCAACAAGTGAAGTATGAACACCAAAGGCCTGCAGATTTGCTTAAAAAAATGCCAATTCCGGAATGAAAGTGGGAAATGATAGCCATGGATTTTGTGGTTGGTCTTCCCAAGACTTTGGAGAAGTTTGATTCTATTTGGGTAGTGGTTGATAGATTGACTAAGTCATCCCATTTTATTCCGGTAAGAATAGATTATAATGCTGAACAATTGGCTAAGGTGTATGTGAAAGAGATAGTGAGGTTGTATGGAGTGCCCCTGTTTATCATCTTAGACCGTGGTACCTAATTCACATCCAAGTTTTGGAGGAAATTACATGATGAATTAGGCACACAACTCACTTTTAGCACAACCTTCTATCCACAGACAGACGGACAATCAGAGAGGAGTATTCAAGTGTTAGAAGGCATGTTGAGGGCATGTGTGATTGACTTTAGAGGGCATTGGGATAAGTTCCTACCTTTGTGTGAATTCTCCTATAATAATAGTTATCACTCCAGCATAGATATGACACCATTTGAGGTACTCAATGGAAGGGGAAGTAGATCACCCATAGGATGGTTTGAGGTTGGAGATGTGAAACCATTGAGGGTCAATTTAGTGAAGGATGCTCAAGGTAAGGTGAGGAGTATTCAAGCTAAGCTTCTAGCAGCCCAGAGTAGACAGAAGAAGTATGCTGATCATAAGGTGAGAGACATGGCGTTTCAAACCGGTGAGAATGTTCTTCTTAAGGTATCACCCATGAAAGGGGTGATGAGATTTGGCAAGAAGGGCAAACTAAGTCCGCGATACATTGGTTCATTTGAGATTCTTGAATGTGTAGGACCGGTAGCGTATATATTGTCTTTAACTTCTAATCTATCGGGTGTTCACCCGGTATTTCATGTGTCCATGTTGAAGAGATATCATGGTGGTGGGGAATACATCATTAAATGAGACTCAATTGTGTTAGACAAAGACCTCCAATATGAAGAGGAATCGATTGCAATTCTTGATCGTGACGTGCGCAAGTTGAGGACCAAAGAGATTAAGTCCATTAGGTTCAATGGAAGCATCATCTAGTTGAGGAAGCTACTTGGGAGATCGAAAGGGACATGCAAGACAAGTATCCCCAATTGTTCGTCCATTCAAGTACTACTTCATTCCTTCCTTAGCCTATTTTCCTAAGTTTGTCACTCGGGGACGAGTGATGGGTAAATTGGTATCTATTGTAATTACCAGATTTCGTCGTTATAGAAAGTCCAACGGGGAAAATTTTGGGTCGGAAAACTTTTTCGTAGTAACTTGGAATTTCCCAAACTAGTCCAGATTTGGACGAAATTGGAGTCTTTGAGGTGTAGGGAAATCTAGTAACAATCGGGTGACTTATTGATGAGTTTGATTACATGAGTAGTTAGATAAGTCGTTAAGAAATCCGTACGACTTTACAAATTGAATTCGGGTGAGTAGAACTCCCGTCATCGTTCTTAGCGTGAAGGAGATTTTCTGAATGTCATTGGTTAGAGGTGTGTAGTGAAATGAGGGTCTTGGAATTATTAAAATGGTTCACTGCTTAGTGAAGACCGTTTTGGCACTAGGTTTTGTCGCCTTGGTGGGGCCCCTATAGCGGGGTGAGGACCGCTGTGGCAGGCCATACGCAACTTAAAGTCGTAAATAAACCCCTAAACGACTTTATCTGCACTTTTCAATTTTTAGAGCCAAGGAACGAACCCAAGGTGACTCTTGACAGTTTTCCACCATTCTTGGGGCTAAATGTAAGCTTTTCACTCCCCGAATCCATTTTTCGATCCGTAGAACGTAATAGAATGGGTAATTATCGATGGGGGAGGGATTTGATCTAGATTCTATGTTGGAAACAACCCTATTTTGGATATTTGGGATCATGGGTATGATCTAGGGTTCATAGAATTGTTAGAAATTTGGGTAATTAGTGATTGTTTATTGATTCCCGTATTATATTGATTGTTTGTAGACCAAGAACAAGCGGAACGAATCAGGAAAGGGAAGGATCAAGTTTCTTAGGGTTTCAAGCTTGTTTCAAGGTATGTGATGGTGGTGATTCTATGATTGTGTGATGTATATTTGTTCTTGTTTCATTATGATACATGTATATATGAATGTTGCATTATTGATCACACTTGTTGAAATTGAGATAGATTGAATGATGGTTACCATGAAATCATGACTTAAATGTATGATCTTGAGGATATGCTTGTGATTGTGATTGTGGTGTGTTGAATGGATCGGTTGCCATGTTCCGGCATAACTAACTCGGATCGGTTGCCACATTCTGACATAATCATTGGATCGGGTACCACGTTCCGGTATGCTAACTGTTTGGGTTTGGGTTTTATGAGAGGACTAATGACTTGTCATAATTGTGTATTTTGAGAAATGTGAAGTTGTTCGTTGTTCGTAAATGTTGATAATATTGTATATGTTCGATATGGGCATGTGTTTATAATGTTGTATTGACTTGCTTATGTTACACTTAGTGGGATAGTCACATGATCCTACCAGTACACTGTGGTTGGGTACTAATACTTCACTTGCTCTTATTTTTGTTGAGTACATGGCATCTTCCGGCGGCTATGGAGACACCTCGCTTAGGAGATCAGTGATCGTCGTTTCGAATTCAAGGGTGAGCCAGTTCTTCCGGGCTGCCATGGGTTCTCTTTCATCTATGTCCACCATTTCGGACTTAGACTTTTCTAGTTAGTTATTAGTTCATTAGTTGGGGTTGTATCCCTTCTTGTTTAAACTTGTTGAACTTTAGATGTTTTCGTACATTGACTCCGCATTGTTTAGTTCATTGTTAGACTTTTGTTGGAATTTATGTGAACTCCCTATTTCTTTGCTTAGTATTTAACTTGTTCGTATCCTTAAAATGCTTTAGTTTTTGGTTTAGTTAGTTGGTTTGGGTTGTAGTAGTGGTTCTCCCACCGGAGGGTTAGTGTGAGTGCTAATCACGATGGTCTGGGTCATGATACCACCCCCACTCAAATCACTTTTTTGAAAAATTTAATAAAAATATTTTTCTTCATACCAAATGCATCCTTAATAAGTGTACTTTTTAAGAGGTTCCTACTTTCTACGCCCTTACATCTGTTAAGGAGTGTACAATTGGTGGATAATCATGGGTTACCCATATTTTATGATAGATAATATGCGTTGATTCATATTTGACCCACTTTTAAATTAATGGATAACTAATCCATTCCAAAATGAATTAATCGAGCGGATACCCATAAATTTGGCCTATTTTGCCATATCCCTATATTCACAACATACATCCCCACCAAATGCAAATCTTGAAGTAGATTATGAAAATCAAATATAATTATAGGTGTAGTAAATGTTGTAACAAAATAAGTTTTAACATATCAATGAACTTGTTCATATATTAAGTCATCACAATTCTTTCAAGTCATGTTGTTGAAGGGACTTTTTGTGCATAAAAATGTTAATAAGACATCAAAAGCACATAAGCAATTGGTAAATCCCAATCACACAATCAAAAATGAGATTAAATGATGAATGTCCATATATAAATATTAAACATGTTTGCCTTGAGAGAACATCTCAATTAGGGAATAACAAGTACCAGTAACACCGAAAAACACCCCCAAGACTATTAATCCCAAATCCATAAATGTTCCTTTTCTATCCATTTCTCCTTTGAATACTTGATAATGAAATAATGCTGGCAATATAAACCCCAAAGCACAACAAGTACTACTACCAACCAATGACATAAAATCAGCAAAATTTGGAACCAACAAAGCCACCATAGTCACTCCCAAAACAAGTATCCATCTCATCCACATACAATAATTTCCATTAGAAAATCTCCTCTCAAACACCTCAAATGCTGGATTCAACATCAAGGGAAATGTAAAGAACAAATTAATACAAAGCCCCAATTTTACACTTGTGCTCAACACTCCTTTCTCCATATTAGACAAGACAATATCCTTTGTACTTGAACCATATGCAAAATACCCCATCACACCAAATGTACCATACATTAAAGCAATAAAGAACATTGCTAATGCCAATACTTTCCCATATTTTGACTTGTCTTTCATCTCCGTCTCTAATGGTATTGCCATTCCAACACCTTCAAATGAATAAAGAGCCACACCTAAACCATAATAAAACGTAGAGATTGTCCCGAAAGCCTCTATCCCCGATGGGAATTGATTCATGAACATCTGCACATCCTCAACCATTACAACACCCATAGCACCAATTTGTGCAATGTCAGCAAATATACTCAAAGGGGCTAAAAGTGTTAATGAAGGAATAGAAGTCAATCCCAATTGAAATGGCAAACAACCCCATATATACAAGCTCTTAGCAGAGGAAAATAGAGGAATCCCAAAACCTTTTGATAAACTTACTAGATGACATAATGTATTGCCAATGAAAATGAGATATCCAATACAAAATCCAGATTGAGATAACACAATCATAACATCAACAACAAATCTACCTACTGGACCACAAACAACGAAACCAAGATCGCCAAATGACGAAATCTTGGAATCACCAATTAAGGTAAGATCAAGTCTTCTTCTTGTATGAATAAGAAGCATCATGCCATGATAGGTTAAGACAACAACGGCGAAAAGAGTGAGAACGCCTGTGATCCAACCAGTCTTCATAAATGTATAAGGAAGGCCAAGAACACCAGCACCAACAATAGCAATGAAGAAATTGCCAAAGGTTTTGGGAAGACAAGATTTACAGTTTTCAAGAAGAGGGGTTTCTTCTTCTTCTTCTTTAGGTAAAAGTGTTGCATTGTCTGAGGATTCACCAATGACAGCTTCTCCATTGCAGCCAAAGGCCATAATGGTAGAGATTAATGTAATGTTAAATTTTGTTTATGATCAAAACAATGTATTCTAATTTTTGTTTTGGTTGATCCAATTCCTTATTATCTGTTAATATTATGACACCTGTAGTTATCAAAGATCTTGAAATACCTTTTTGTGTTTGAATAGACAACTTCTCCTACTTCCAAGGAGAATTTTGTGGTACCGATGGGATGCATTTTGTTTACTAATTCTATATATTTATTATTTCTAGAAATAATTCAAGAGATAGGTTTTGTTCTATAACGGTCACATTCCATGTGGTTTAGGATATTACTTACGCCTACATCTTTTATTTTGATTTTTTTACCCCAATTTGTAAACCTCTTTAAAATAAATATAAATTAATTATGATTTGATAAATTTTTCCTTTTTTTATATTAATTTCTTCATATTATTAAAAATAATGACTCATTTAATTAATACTTCAAAAATAAATCAGTATGAAAAATATGTAATTTTATTTGATAAAAGAACTCGTACATATTATAGTACTAACTTATTTGTATTGATTTATTTTTAAAGTATTTATTAAATGAGTCATATTTAAAATAATGTGCATTAACATGAAGAAATTAATATAAAGAAGGACTAATTTGTCAAACTATGGATAATAAGAAACATAGTAAGAAACATACAAGTAGAAACTTAAGAAAAATGAGAAGAAAATTAAACAAATGATATTCGGAATATAAAGAACTCAATATCACAAAAACTGATAACGAAAAATTAGATCAATTAATAGATAATTTATCTAAAATAGAATATAAATATATTCAATATTTAAAGATACAATGAATAGCGAGAATAACGAATATAAAGAAAAACTTACTGAAATAATTATAGCGAAAAGACAAGAATTAGAACATAGGCAAAATAGACTTATTAATAACATATTCGTAGGAATTTGTAAAAAATCTATAATAGCACAGAGAAAAACTATTTTATATCTAGAAATACAAATAGAAAGTTTAGAATATAAACTTCAACACAATCTATAAATGAATAAGGAAGAATACGCAATAGATGAAAAATCATATGAAAACTATGACGGATTAAAAATTAAGATAATATTTTCTAATCTAGGAAGAAGATATAAGAAAATAGGTGACAATCTAAATTTAATGTTAGAAAAAGAAACGGTAAAACTAGAAGATAGTTTAACTGCTATGATAAGAATAACAAAAGAAAATGAAGAAATAGATAGAAAAATGGAAATAGAAAAAATAAAACAACAAGCAAAAAAGGAAGTACAACAATTAGAAGAAGTAAAAAATACTAAAATAATAGAACTAGAAAAAGAGCTGGCAATATTAAAAGAAATGTATGAAAAAGGACGTACAACAATTAGAAGAAGTAAAAGATACAAAAATAATAGAACTAGAAAAAGAGCTGACAATATTAAAAGAAATGTATGAACTTAAACAAAAAGAAAAAGAACAAAAAACAAAATTAGCAAATGA